GGCTGGAGGCCTGGTGAGACCCAGCACCATGTTTGCAAAAGAGAAAATCTGTATGGGGGACCCTCCTTGCTGTCATTTCCTCTGCTGAGGAATTCACCATCCTGACAAAGGTGATTTCTTACATTGGGCTTTCCTGGGGTGTCTCAAAATATTCACCAGAGCTGAGGGGGTTTAGCCTGGAGCAAAGGAGGCTCAGGGGGCCCTTGTGGCTCTGCACAAGTCCCTGCCTGGAGGGGACAGCCAGGGAACAGGGACAGACAAGGGGAAATGGCTCAGGCTGGGCCAGGGCAGGCTCAGGGTGGACATCAGCAGGAATTTCTGCATGGAAAGGGGGCTCAGGCCTTGGCAGGGGCTGCCCAGGGAGGTTTGAGGTGTCCAAGGAAGGCCTGGATGTGACACTCAGAGCTCTGGGCTGGTGACAAGGTGGGGATTGGGCACAGCTTGGCCTCAATGATCCTGGAGGTCTTTTCCAACCTGAAGGATTCTGTGATTCTGTGTATTTATTTCAGTTCTCCTGCCCTGATGATGACATCAAGAAAAAACAAAAAGCCAGAGGGGTGTCTGGAGTTCAGAGCTCCTGCTCTGGTGTCTGGGGTGCTTGGGGCACAGAACACACTGTGGACACCCCTGCTAAGAGGACAACGTTGTAGGGCAGCAGGTGGAGCAAATTCAACCTTTTCTGTCCCTCCTCAGACCCTGCCCTGAGCATCTGGGGCTGTTTAACAGCTCCCTTGGGGCTCTTGTCCTTCCACGAGTTTGGGTTCCAGACACTCCTGACGTGAGGGAAGCTGGAGGTGTCCAGGGAGGGTCTGTGCTCTGTGGGAGCTCATCCTGCATGGAATGGTGCTCCCAGAACCCCCTCAGCTGGCCTGGCCTGTGCCCATGGCCAGCAGCAGAGCCCCCAGGCCTGCCTTGGCTGGGGGAGGAGCTGGAGAACAGGGAGCAGCTTGTTCCCAGTGGCTCTGGGATGACAAAGGCCCTTCCATCCCCACAGCAGCACCACTGTGGGCTGGGGCCCTGCTCTGGGAGGCTGTGGGTGAGTGACCAGCAGGCCCAGTGTGTCACTGCTCTGCTCCTGTTGCACAACTGCCTGCTGATTCACAGCTCTCCAGCAGTGCTGCTGCCATTCCTGCTGCTCTGCTGCCCCTGCAAAGCCCAGGAAGAGGCTGCCAGGCCCTGCTGGCTCTCCCTTTACACCTCATTAGCCCTAATTTGGTAATTTCTCCTCAGATCAGTGCCCTCTGGGGATCAGGACAGAAGATCCTGGGAAGGAAGTTGGGGGGAGAGCTGTGGGAGCTGTTCCATCTCTGTCTGGACATTTCCAAATCTCCCAGTCCTGCAGCAATGGTCTCCTGACTGAGCCACCAAGGCCAAAGGTGTCTTTGTCCTTGGCCAGGCACCTCCTGAGGGATTGCTTTCCTCATGGAACAACATTTAACAATGGGACACAAGGGCCAGCCTCACCCAGCAGACAGAAAACACTTTGTCTTGAGATTCTCAGGAGGAATTTCTGCATGGAAAAGGGGCTCAGGCCTTGGCTGGGGCTGCCCAGGGAGGTTTGGGGTGCCCATCCCTGCAGGTGTCCCAGGAATTCCTGGATGTGGCACTGAGTGCCCTGGGCTGGTGACAAGGTGGGCATTGGGCACAGCTTGGACTCGATCTTGGAGGGCTTTTCCAAGCTCAGGGATTCTGAGATTCTGTGTGAAACCACATCCTCTCCAGGACCCCAAAGATACCCTTCCTTGGAGCATTGAGGTCCATGGGCCAGCTGCCTGGGACAGAAGGCTCTTGCAACCAGGGCTGTGACCCTCCAGAGCTGACAAACCTCCCAGGAGTGCCTGGAGCCCCCTGGAGTGTGGTTCCCAGGCTGGTTCAGTGGCAGGGCCTGTGCCACGGGCACTGGAGCTCTCCCCTTGTCTCTGCTCAGTCACAGGGGAAGTGTTTGTGCACTGCTCGAGCAAAGAGCTAAAAATAACCCCCTGTGTGAGCTGTGGCTCCTGGGTGTGCTGTGTCAGCGCTGCAGCTGAGCCACTGCCGGGGCTCAGGGGACAGGGACAGAGGCCAGGGCCCCACAGCCAGCAGGGACAGCAGCCTGCACACCCAGCAGGGTGGGAAACCAGAACAGCAAACAGAGCAGGCCCTGTGTCACAGCTGGGCCTGGGAGGGACACAACATGCAGGGAACCTTTTCACAGAATCCCTGAGGCTGGAAAAGAGCTCCCAGAGCACTGAGTCCCAGCTGTGCCTGATGCCCACCTTGTCCCCAGCTCAGGGCACTCAGTGCCACATCCAGGAATTCCCTGGACACCTGCAGGGATGAGACTCCAAACCTCCCTGGGCAGCCCCTGCCAAGGCCTGAGCCCCCTTTCCATGCAGAAATTCCTCCTGATGTCCACCCTGAGCCTGCCCTGGCCCAGCCTGAGGCCATTTCCCCTTGTCCTGTCCCTGTTCCCTGGGAGCAGAGCCCGACCCCCCCTGGCTGTGCCCTCCTGGCAGGGACTTGTGCAGAGCCACAAGGGCCCCCCTGAGCCTCCTTTGCTCCAGGCTGAGCCCCTGCCCAGCTCCCTCAGCCCCTGCTGGGGCTCCATTCCCTGCCCAGCTCCCTCAGCCCCTCCTGGGGCTCCATTCCCTGCCCAGCTCCCTCAGCCCCTCCTGGGGCTCCATTCCCTGCCCAGCTCCCTCAGCCCCTCCTGGGGCTCCATTCCCTGCCCAGCTCCCTCAGCCCCTCCTGGGGCTCCATTCCCTTCCCAGCTCCAGCCCCTGCAGGTCTCTCGTGTCAGGAGGGGCCCAGAGCTGCCCCCAGCACTGGAGGTGCCCCAGCAGTGCCAGCACAGGGCATGGGCACTGCCCTGGCCCTGCTCCACCCCAGAGCTGGCACAGCCCAGGGGCCAGTGGCCTCTTGCCCACCTGGGCACACCTGAGCTCGTGTCCAGCTGCTGGCACAGCACACCCAGGGCTTTTTCCAGCCTTCCAGCCCCTCTGCCCCCACATGAGTTATCTCACCCTGCAAACAGTGAGAAATTACTGGCAGCAGGATACTTAATTATGACAGCCATTGCAGCTGGCAGTGTGCTGGATCATACCATGGGACAGCTCAGGATTCAACGTGAGAGGAGCATTGGGTCTGTGCAAAACCTGTGATGGGGCATCTGCAGCGTTTCCAGTGCCTTCAGTGCTGGTTCCACAGCCTGGCTCTTGCGAGAAACTTTTCTCCCCTGTGTGGGAAGAGCAGGAACTGTGAGGGAATTCCCCATGTCCAGGTTGCCATGGGCTCCATTGCAAACACACCGGGTGCAGGAGATCCTTGTGTTCCTCATGCTGGGTCAGCACCTGAGCCATCCCCTCCAGCTCATCCAGGGAATGCTGGTGGATGAGAGGCTGGACATGCCCTGGCCTCCCCACATGTGTGTGATAGCATCTGGAAATCCCCCAGTCCTGGGCTGATCCCCCAGTGTGGGCAGCAGGAAAGGGGGGATTCTCCTCCTTTGTCCCCGTGCCCAGGTGAGAGCCCACCTGCCCTGGGCATTGCAACAGCACAAGGAACTGAGGTTGCTGGAGAGAGCCCAGAGGAGCCACCAAAGCTGCTCCAGGGCTGGAGCCAGGCTGGGAGAGCTGGGGGTGCTCACCTGGAGAGGAGAAGGAGCCAGGGAGAGCTCAGAGCCCCTGGCAGGGCCTGAAGGGGCTCCAGGAGAGCTGCAGAGGGACTGGGGACAAGGCCTGGAGGGACAGGAGCCAGGGAATGGCTCCCAGTGCCAGAGGGCAGGGCTGGATGGGATCTTGGGAATTGTGCCCTGGCAGGGTGGGCAGGCCCTGGCAGAGAGCAGCTGTGGCTGCCCCTGGATCCCTGGCAGTGCCCAAGGCCGGGATGGACACTGGGGCTTGGAGCAGCCTGGGACAGTGTCCCTGCCATGGCAGGGGTGGAATGAGATGGGTTTTGCTGTCCCTTCCCAGCCAAACCTTTGCACGCACCCGGCCCTCTCCGGTTTCCCCTCAGGGCTCTGTGCCCCCTCACGCCTGCGCCGCCAGGGGGCGCCTCCTGCCCCGCCCGCGGCCGCGCTCCGCCCCCCTGCAGTAACGTCACTCCAACCCCTGGGGGAGGAGGCGAGCACAGCCAATGGGAGCGCGGAGAGCGCAGCGAGGGGGCGGAGCTTTCGCCGGCGCAAGGGCGGGGCCGACAGCCCCCAGGTTCGCGCGACCGCCGGTGACGTCATCACGCGGGGGGTTCTGCGAACCCGCGGGGCGGGAGCGCACCTGAGCGGGGAAATTGCTTCCAAAAAGCCGAGAATTGCTTCCAAAAGTCCCGTCCATCCCTGCCCTCTGGCACTGGGAGCCATTCCCTGGCTCCTGTCTCTCCAGGCCTTGTCCCCAGTCCCTCTGCGCTCTCCTGGAGCCCCTTCAGGCCCTGCCAGGGGCTCTGAGCTCTCCCTGGCTCCTTCTCCTCTCCAGGTGAGCATCCCCAGCTCTCCCAGCCTGGCTCCAGCCCTGGGGCCTCCTCTGGGCTCTCTCCAGCAGCTCCAGGTCCTTGTGCTGTTGTAATGCGCAGGGCTGGGGCAGCTCTGCAGGTGGGCTCTCACCTGAGCACAGGGACAGAGGAGCAGAATGTCCCCGTTTCCTGCTGCCCACACTGGAGGATCAGCCCAGCATCCTGAGGGCTTTCAGGGTCAGGGCATGTCCAGCCTCTCACCCACCAACACCCCAAAGCTGCTCTCCCTGTGCTCATCCCTAGCCTGGATGGATCCGAGGGTTTGTTCCGACCCAAGTGCAGCACCAGCACCTGGTCCTGTTAAACCCCACGAGATCCTCTCTCCCGGAGCTCATCCATCAGCTCATCCATCTCCCGGACCGCGAATCCCGGGCAAAAAAAACCCGCACAAAATGAACGAACTCCGGGGGCCGCGCGGTGACGTCACCCGCAACCGCCGCACCGCCCCGGTGACGTCACAGCGGCGTACGCGCGCGCGCGCGCCCCCGCCGGGCCTGCGCGGTGCGTGAGGCGGGGGAGGCGGCGCGCGCAGCCTCGGCAGCGCCTCTGAGGAGCCGCCGCGAGCCCCGGGGGAGAACCGGGAAGGGCCGGCGACAAGCGGGGCCCATCGAGCCGAGCAGAGCCCGGGCGGAGCGCGGGGTTATGAGGGCGGGCGCCGCCGCCTCCCCGTGAGGAGCCGCGGGCGCGGGGAGCGCGCGAGGCCGCCCCGCCACAGGAAGCCATTTTGTGGGCCCCCTCCTCCTCCTCGTCGTTCTCGTCCTCTTCCTCCTCCTCGTCCTCCGCCGTCGCCGCCGCCCTCGGGAGCGGCCGGGCCCGGTGAAGGAGGCGGCGAGGAGGGGCGGCGGCGGCCGCCGCGCCCTCCCCCATGGCGAAGAAAACCTACGACCTGCTCTTCAAGCTGCTGCTCATCGGGGACTCGGGGGTCGGCAAGACCTGCGTCCTCTTCCGCTTCTCCGACGATGCCTTCAACACCACCTTCATCTCCACCATTGGTCAGTGCTTTTCCGCCCATGGCGGGGCTGCGGACCCCTCGGTTCCCACCGCCGTACCCCGCTCAGCTCCGTCCCTGTGTCACCCCCGGGGGCCCCCAGTGTTCACCCCAGCCCCGTTATTGTGTCACCCCCTAGGGACCCCCTGTATTATCTCCAGCCCCCAAGGGACCTCCTGTGTCACCCATTAGGAATACCGTGACCCCCCCCCCCGCCACCCCCAGGGACCCCCAGCCCCGTGTTTGTGTCACCCCTAGGGATGGCCTGTGTCACCTCCTTGCCCCACTCCTGTATCCCCCCCTCCCAGGGACCCCCTGTGCCACCCATCAGGAATCCCCTGTGAGCCCCCAGTCACCCCTAGGGACAGCCTGGGTCACCCCCGAGCCCCACTCCTATATCCCCCCACCAGGGACACCCTGTGCCACCCATCAGGAATCCCCTGTGACCCCCCCAGCCCCGTGTCTGTGTCACCCCTAGGGACAGCCTGTGTCACCCCCTAGCCCCACTCCTGTATCCCTGCCCAGGGACACCCGTCAGGAATCCCCTGTGAGCCCCCCAGGGACCCCAGTCCCGTGTCCATGTCATCTCTAGGGATGGTCTGTGTCACCCCCAGAGACCCCCTGTGTCACCCATCAGGAATCTCCCGTGACCCCCAATCCCCCCTAGGGACCCCCAGCCCCGTGTCTGTGTCACCCCCTTGCCCCACTCCTGTATCCCCCCCAGGAACGCCCTGTGTCCCTCCAGGACCTTCCTGTGTCCCCCCCGTCCCCATTCCCGTGTCCCCCTCCCGCCCCGGTGCCGCCCGACGCCGCCTCGCCCCCGCTGCAGGGCAGGGTGGCTTTGGTTCCTCCCTCGGCGCTGGGTGACCCTGGGCGACCCTCGCTGTCCCCCCCGCGGGGGCTGCGCTGGCAGCTCGTCCCCCGCGCCCCGTGCCAGCCGCCGGAGCCCACCTGGCCCCTTCCATCAGCGCTAATCCCGGTGCCTGCGGGGCGCTGGGATCGCCGTGCCCGTGTTTGCAGCGCTCGGGATGTGGCTCAGGAGCCATCGCGCTCGTGGGTGGGGTCTGTGTTCTCGCCCAACAAAGCTGTCCTTTCCCCCTCGGCACCTCCTGACCAAGGTAGAGCTGCTGTGACATCATGAATGGGGATGTGTCTTTGCCTTTTCCGCGCGATCTGTGCCACGGGACAGGCCTGGTACCCAGTATCCTTCATCCAGGTGTATCTCAGGGCTTTTCTGAACATCTTTCTTTGCAGATGAACAGTTCAGGTCAGCTTCTCACCTTCTTGGTGACTGGCTCTGAAAATGAAGGGAAATTCCTGTCTCAGCTTTTCTTGCAGCAGCCACTGGTGTAACACACGCAGATACATCTGGATAAAAAAGAAAATTATTTTGAGGGCTATGAACTGGATCTGACTTTTGTGTTTGCTGTAAATCCCTTAAGTCACTGGTCATGCAGCTGAGGGAACATGGAGTGTCAGTGTAGATCTTAGTGCTGGGTGTGTTCACCCCTGTGCACTTCCTTATCTGTGATGAAACAGCACCCAAAAATTGCACCTCGGACTAGAACATGTAAAAATACTCTCTTAAGCAAGGCTTGGGAAATTTAAAGTGAAAAAAAAATACCTTTGTGACAGCTAAGTGTCGAGAAAATTATTCCCTAAAACCTCTCAGGGCCCCAACTTGGCATTTTGCTGAATTTTTGGGGCAGTGTGTGACAGTTAATGCTGTCCCTTCCCGTGGCATGGCCTGGCTCTGGGAGGCCAGCTGGGTTTGCTGCTGTGGCCAGGGTGTATTTTGGCACTGCTGGGTAGATCCTTGCTGGGATCACATGACATTCCTTGCCTTTGGAGTTCGTTGGGAAGGTTTATTTCAATTCTCTAAGTTAAAAATAGTCAACGTCATAGTTAAAAAGTCAGCAGGCACAGTGGCTCCTGCTCCAACAACTCGTGCTTTTAATAATTAGTGATTTAGTAATTAGAATTAGCTGCTGGTCTAACTGTGCAGCTTTGGGCCCTTCAAGAGGAGTGTCACCAGGTTGGGTAGGAGGTGTGCACATGCAGATTTTGGAAGTGTTTCCCAGCAGTCAGACCAGTGGCTGTTTGTTTCTGCAGTGCCTGAACTGGAGGGCAGAGGTGTTTCATTCCCTGATTTCTGAACTGGGTGTCTGTGATGGTAGCTGTGTGAGGTTTGTGTCTTCACAGTGGAATTTGGCAGGTGTTGGTGTACAAATTGATTTTCTGTGTGGTGTTTAACTGCCCAAAGATGCCTTAAATGTGTTGTTTCCATAGCTTTCTGTAAGTTTGATGTGGAAACCTTGAGGGAAGTGTCCTGTGCAGACAATGCCAGTTGTAAGGGAGACTCTCCTTGGGAGAAACAGCCCATCCCTGAAGGAAGAATCCAAACACCTGAGTTTTATCCAGGCCCACTCAATTCTCTCTGCACTATCCCAAACAGTGCAGCAATCTGGCTGAAAATGGGATTTCAAATTCCCCTGGTGACAGCAGCTCTCCCCCTTGCCCAGGTTGGCCCCACAGCAGCAGTGACAATCCAGGAACCTGGAAAGGGGCTTTCCATGGAGGGGAATCCCAGCCCTGCTTGGTTTTGCAGCTGGAAGAGCAGAGTTTCAGGGAAAGCCTCCCATGGAGTCTCTGACCTGTAGCAACAAGGAAATGTGGTTTCCAAAGCCCTGTGTACACAGTGGGTGACAGGAGGTGACTGGGTGCTTGGCTGAGGCTCTCCTGTGTTTGGATAACCCCAGCAGCTCTGCTCCCTGCCCTGGCTTTGCTCAGAGCTCTGCCAGCAGCCTGGGACACACGTGAAATGGTCTGAGTGTTTGGTGGGGGCTGGAGGCAGGGACTGGTTCATGGAATCCTGGAATGGGTTGGGTGGGAAGGGAGCTCAGAGCCCCCCCAGTGCCACCCCTGCCATGGCAGGGACACCTCCACTGTCCCAGGGTGTGCCAGTGTCCAGCCTGGCCTTGGGCACTGCCAGGGATCCAGGGGCAGCCACAGCTGCTCTGGGAATTCCATCCCAGCCCCTGCCCACCTTCCCAGGGCACAATTCCTCATTCCCAATATCCCATCCATCCCTGCCCTCTGGCACTGGGAGCCATTCCCTGGCTCCTGTCCCTCCATGCCGTGTCCAAAGTCCCTGTGAGCTCTTCTGAAGGTTCCCCTCAAGCACTGAAGGCTCAGGCTTTAGTTTGGAAGGAAAAGAATGATCTCTTTTCCTTTTGAAGGATCTCAAGGAATGTTGCAACTGGCCTCTGTCTAAGGAGGAGGCCTGGGGAGAAGGTTTTAATTCTCTGAAACCAAAGGCCTGATTGCATGTGTAAGGGAAGACACCCTAATGGAGCATTTCTGCTTCATGTCAGTCATTTCTATCCCTTCAGATTTCATCTTTGCACATTGATCCTGCTCCATGATGGCTGCTGGGGGATAACTTACTGGCCCTGTCACTTGACATACTCTCACTTTGACTTTGAGTCACTTCAATCTAATATTTCCTGCTAAAGCAGCAGTTAAGCTTCTGGATGTGCTGAGGTGCCAGCGTGAGGGATTTCATTGCCCCTTCTCAGGCACTATAAATATTCCAGATGGCATTTCTGCAAGAAAGCCCAGAGTCATGGTAACCTCCCTGGGGAGGCCTGGGCCTCCAGCCCTGCCCTGCTCTTTGCAGGTACAAAAGGAAGAAACCTTGGAAGGCTTAGTCCATCCCAAATGATTTTAAATTGTAACTGTTCTTCAGCAATTTTCTGGTGCAAGAATTATTTTTATGGTATTTGGTTATGAGAACTGTGGTGCTTGAGGGTCAGTGAGTGGGTGCAGCTGCCCCTCTGGCACTGCTGCTGTTCCTCACATTTCAGTGCTCTCCCTGCTACCAGCAGATTGTCTTTATTTTGAATGTTAAAAATGTTAGCATGAGTGACTTCCAGGCAGCATATCCTTGAGATCTTATATTTTAATATCCCTTTCTTGGCACTCAGTGTGTCAGGTTGTTGGTGGTTTGAAGTGAGCTGTGCATAAAGGATCCATAGGAGCTGTGCACACTTTGTGGAGCACCTGGGAACAGGTAGGGAGGGAGGCTCTTCTGGCCAGGATGGCTGCTGAAAGATTTCAATGCCAGGACTGAGCCTAAGCATGTAATCACTGTTGTCTGACTAAGTCCAATGCAAATGAAGATGAGTCACAAAAAATGTTTTCCCATGAAATCTCTAGTAACAGCTCAGGAGAACAAAGGGTGTGTGAACATTGGGAGATTCCTCCCCAGTGCTCCTGGTGGAGGTAAAACTTCCCTGCATCTTTATCCCTCCCCATGCTCCTGATGGAAGGTAAAACTTCCCTGCATCTTTATCCCTCCCCATGCTCCTGATGGAAGGTAAAACTTCCCTGCATCTTTATCCCTCCCCATGCTCCTGATGGAGGTAAAACTTCCCTGCATCTTTATCCCTGGAGGTGCTCCTGATGGAGGTAAAACTTCCCTGCATCTTTATCCCTCCCAGTGCTCCTGGTGGAAGGTAAAACTTCCCTGCATCTTTATCCCTCCCCATGCTCCTGATGGAAGGTAAAACTTCCCTGCATCTTTATCCCTCCCCAGTGCTCCTGGTGGAAGGTAAAACTTCCCTGCATCTTTATCCCTCCCAGTGCTCCTGGTGGAAGGTAAAACTTCCCTGCATCTTTATCCCTCCTGGAGGTGCAGCTGTAAATTGTGTTCCTGAGCTTTACTCACCTGGCTGCAAGTCTAGAAATCCAGAGATAAAAACCAGTAATTTTTGAGGTTTGTTTCATTTTGAACACAACCAAAGCTGTGCTAAGAGCATGCAAAACTGATATTTGAAATGTGAAAGTAGAGGAAAAATATTTGGATGAAATAATTATTTTTAATTGTTTCTTTTGCCTTTATTAGAATTGGGTTTGAGTTAGAGCCACTTGCTTTGAAATTGCTTCATATTGGCACATTGGAGCACTGAAATTTTTAAAAATTAGTCCTCAAGAGTGCTCAGG